TCACGTCGCACTCGGCTGCGAACCTTTCTAAGGAACACTGGAGATCAGTTTCAGAAGATGCTAATAAAACTAGGTCGTTAGCAAACAGCAACCTTCTCGATTTCACATCTCCTACACCGATGCACTCATAGCCTTGACTGTTCCTGATTATTCTATCCATGTACAAAACAAACAGGATAGGGGACAGGACCCAGTTTTGGCAGAGACCAGTGCGAACGTTGAATGGTTTCGACTTAACGCCATTAACTCTGACGCAGCACCTGCTATTAGAATGCAGTGATTAGATGGCCCTTAGCAGCTGGCCATCTATCCCGTATGCTCAAAGGCATGACCATAGACTGTTGTCCGGGATCCGTTCTTAGGCTTTTTCTAGGTCAACAAAGCACATATGCACTGAGTTCAGTACAACACACTAATTTATTTCGCAATGTCGTCAACGAGAAACCAGCGATATTGAGTACGAATATTGTTTACTATCAAGAATTCGTTATGACATCGATATTTCGGCCCAAATTCGATCAGCATTATTTGGTACATTTGCATAGTGCTTGATAAGGTACAAGCTCAATAACTAATATGTTCTGAAACACTATTCTTATATTAATAATGAGGGCTTCCTTCCTGTATTTTCACGATGATATGGGCCTGTGAAAAGACCGTGTTCTATTACTCGAAGAGTTTCAAATTTCAGACTAGCAGCGTTCAGTGGTTTCGGATTTTCCAGATGTTATTACTGAATCGCACCAAGTCGAAGAACGCAGACTCTTTTCATTCCTGTTTTGTAGGCAACATGATTGTAGGCTTACGTTAAGATCAGTTTTTAAGCAGCAAGATGTTCGGCTGTAATTTAGAAGTCAGACACCTTGAAGTTATGACGAAAGACACACATAGTGCAATGAGGTAACTTCATTTACCGCATCGTTTTTGGGAGATCCAGAATACGCTATGCACAACTTCTAACGGCTTGCCAATGTAAGTTGCCATCGGTCATAAATTAGTTCAGTCTCTCCGTCTGTGCAGCTTCCATGCTGCCTTTCTTCGTTGGATATTTATGAATTTTAGCACGAAGCTGTTCTTCAAAGTTTGGTGCCTCATTTATAACCCAGTCTCCTCATTTCGCTGAATGTTTGTTGCACAGTACCTATACTATTTCACAACGCGTTTCTCATGTACCACTGCAAACGTACTTTGATTCGGTTGGTCTACAAACCAGAATGCATTGAGTTGAATGATTCTGTTACTGCTATCAACCTACCACTTTTCTTGCCCATTTTGAGGCGCTGTTCCAAATATTTAGCTATATTCCGTTGTTTCACATATTTGTACATTCACGCTGATTGTTTTCGTGTTTTTAGCTGTCTGTGAGCGCGAAAACTCATTAGCATCGCTGACAGTCAGTGAATAAAGCAGTCAATCATTGCGAAACATTTCAGCCTATAGTTTGTTGTAAAATTAGGCACATTTGTGCGACAATGCCTGTGTTTCACTACAGACGTGCCACATACTGCAAATGTTGCATATAAGGATGATACCATTAACGTTTGAGTAAAGAAAACTGTTTTGTACGCTGTGTAATTCAGGTACACAGCACTGGACCGAATGAAGAAAAATGCTAATTGTGCATGGATACTCAGGTTCATTTCTGAATTAATCGCCTGCAACAATTCGACTCTGTACGAGCTTTCATTTTATGAAAATGTCATGTCGGAATCCGAGCCGTTGACGTGCCAGAAAGTCATTGGTCGACTGATATCTGAACTCACTCTCATCGCCTTTAGCAAATTTTGACTGCGACCACAATACAGAAATTCTGGAGTTCTCTTTTTCCACTGAGCGATGGGTGGTCCTATCCTACGTTCATTACGAACATTTATGTGTTGTCTGGGATCTACTCAGAGTCTACAGCTTCTGTGTTGTTTCTTAGTGTACTGCGTCGATTTGCATAATGTGGCTCGTTTTGAGGTCGCGATAACTTACTGACTCACAGCGCGCAACTGTCATTTCCGTGTGAACGGCCTTCTTGGACGGCAGGAGCTGAGCGCAACGGTGTAAAATATTGCGGACAATGCTGTTCTTTTTGTTGGGTTTCTGTAAGTTCGTTGGACTTGGCTAAGTGCGATTCTGAAATCGTTGCTTTTAGGTTTGTTGTTGAGTAGTATTGCTGAAGGTGCACCGGGTAGTGTACGGAAATCACACAATACGGAGCAGTGCATCACTCAGTGCTCCGAAAACTATACTGACCAGTGGGCGGCGTTGGTCTCATCCAAGCTGGTTGCGGTGCTGACGAAAAATGACACGCTCCTGTCGCAGATGAAAACCGTCAAGGGGGACATGTGCAGGTACGAAGTTTCAGACCTAGCGAAGATCAAAATCAACTGAGCGAATGAGTAGGAAAGTACCTTTTTCTTATTGCTTTCTTCTACCACTTACATATTGCGTCAGCATCGTACGAATTAGATTATTATGGCTGAGTTCGTTGCCTCAGTCTACCTACGGTAAGCACTATCATGACTACAGCAAATATTCCGAGATTCTGACTCAACCGACTGAGAACGACAGAGTAAAGGCAAGCCGCCGTGATCCGAAAACAGAGTATTTCTTTCTAAGAAATTAACAGAGACCATGCAAACGCGAAAGATACGTAGTTTTGATGTAAACATCAAATTTTAATCTGCTTTATGGTATAACACGTGTCAATTCAGCATGGTTATAAGTAGTGAAATGAGTAGTGGTCAGTTGGTTGACGCGTTCAAATTGTCACTCCAATTGATCATTTTCCCGTTCTAAGGAAGAAATGGTGCTTCGTTTTTGTATTCAGTTCATGTCACGATTAGTATTTCAGTTGTCACTTTCGAATCCTCAGAACCTCATGCATTTTTGTCCACTTTGATAAAAATAAGTACGTTTAACTATGAAACTTCAATGCAGACATGATACGGACAGCATACTCAGTATGATGTATATCTGCAGACACGAACTTCAGACTTTCTCGATATTGTGTTCTATATGCAAATGCATTAAATACGCACAGGAGGAAGGTAAAGCCAATGACCACTACACCATGTGTCGAACTTCGAACCGAAGTGGGAACCGATTTCGCGGAAATTTTTCATAACGAATTTTGACTTGGTAACTCGCGAATGCAAATCATCTCCGTAATGTTCTATTGGCTGATCCTGCTATCTGTCGACGAATATTCAACAATGTTGAATAATTGCAT